GGCCTTGATCATCCAGAAAATACCATAAAAAGAATCGCTATGTTAGAGCAATGCCTCAGTCAGAACCAGGCACCTAGAAAGTTTTCACAGATGCAGTAGCTTTGAAGAGAAAACAGCCTTTCATAAGACAGGGGTGAGAGTAAAGACCTTCATCTTAGGAGAAACAGCGCAAGCCAAGGCAGAAAATCCAGTAAGGAAGGGATAGAGAGAAATGTCTAAGAAAGCTGGACAGTGGACGTGTCATTAGGAATAAAAGGAGTGTGGTAGAGAACAGATTGAAAAGGTAGGATGCAACTACTTAAACTTTTACCCATTAATAAGAAATATTGATAAATTCCACACTTCCTAGTCTTTTTGAAAAGCAGTCATTAAAGAAAAGAACAACTAACTGTGAGAAGTTAAGCACAAATCTGGAGTGATTGGGTGAACACAGATAGCTTCGCTCTAGTGTTCGATGACAGTTGAAGATGGATTGTCACACAGCCTGTGTGTATGCATGTGCACTGCCGGTGGATCTGCTGGTTTCTACCTGGCCAGAGCCCTTGCCCAAGAACAGCTGCAATTTGCAAGTCTTCTTAAATCTGTTTTACCATCCTGCAGAGGTAAGAGTTGGATAATTTATGCACTATGACTTCACAGTCCTCTGGGGAGGCTGCCAAGGAAAGCATGTTTTGGATAGAAATCTGAAAAAAGGCAAAACAAAAAAAAAATGTAAAAACCTAAGCCCAGTTTGGCATAGGGCTAAAGTTTCACATCCAACTCCTCCCTAGGATCTGCCATTTAATCATCCTCCAGGATGCAAGGGCTGCCATGGGTTACTGGGGATAGCGATTAGGCATCCTTGGGCCGCATCAGCAAACACTCTCTCCTGATAGGCAGCTGGAAAGTAATGGGATTTGGGTTTTAGTTGTGAGAGAATGGTGGAAAATGTTACAAACAGCTGACCTCCTTTGCCCCTGCTGAAATAGCAGCCTTCCTCTGTACATTTTTATGTTGCTTTGGGGAGAGTGACAAAAGACAGATGCTTCTGGCTGGAATGCCAGTTGTTTAATCATTCTTTCTGGTCCCAAGACATTTACTGTAGCTTCTTGGAGCTGACATCTTGGGCCGCTCCTTGGTTTTCAATGTCTTGTAAATTGTGTTGCAATTTTCCATTACATGGAATATGGGAAAGTTTGTGGGAGAGTTTTTTGTAGGTGTTATGTCGCAGATTGTGTCCTCAGGCAAAAAGCCTTAAAGTTGGGAGTGCAGGAATTGCAAATAAACTGTAAGCTCTGTAGTGAGACACACACAAAAAAGACCTCATCTGGCTCCTGTCTCCTACACAGCTTCAGTCAGGTCCGCAGAAGTATTTACGTCCATGCCAAGGCTCGGCAGTAACATCTGAGATTAATCTTCCCAACAGCATGACCTGACCACACAGTGCCCACGACAGAGGAGACCTGCTTCTTTCTCCAGGTTCTGTGGCCCCACAGCACCCCGGGAAGCAGCATGGTAGATAAAATGTCCTTCAGAAGTATAGGAAACTCTCATCTTAGCCACAGACTGCCCTCCTCAGCAGGTCTCTTGCTGTCTGTTTTCAGGAAGATAACATTAAGTTTTGAGAAACCGAAAAGTTTTGATGTAGTCAGGTGTTTTTATTATGTTAAGAAACAGGAGTAAATGATTAGTCTCATAATCACATACAACCTGTTTCCCAGGAGGATGGCATGCTTAGGAACAGGCAAATCATGACAGTGATTTGGAAAGATATTCATATTCTTTTCCCTTAAAAGTCATAGTATTTGGTTGAACTTCACGATTCCTCCTGTTTTAGTGTATCTTGTTAACTTTACTTTTTCTGAATGTGAGCCTGTGAATGTTTTTTGTCACCCTCATGTCATATTTACAAATTCTCCTCCTTCTGTGCAGAGATGCCTATTTCTTTCCTCCTTGGTGACTACTATACTCTAAAGAGCTCTCTCCTCAATATGTGGGAACTTCAGACTGAAGAAGTCACAGCTAAATATGTTGTATCTGTGCGTTGGCCCCCATGTCTTAGGGAGAAGAGACATTCTAGGGAAGAACACACTCACATTTTGTTGATGCACCAATGTGCGCATGAGGAGCATTTGGAGACAGGTAGGATGGATAACAAGACTTTGTGTTTCTATGACACTTTTCACATGGACATTTATAAACATATAAAGATTATCCCCCAAACCCTCTCTTCAGCTGGGTTAAGAGCAAGAATAATTTTTGTATTTTATCAAGAAAAACCAGAATAAGGAGAAATGTCTCTACTCTGTCAGCTTTACCTAGTTCAGAAACCAAGTCCCACCCTTCTGAGAGTAGAGACATCGTCTGTCAAACTCACTGCCTCTCCCCAGCCTCTCTTTGGTTCTCTACTTTGTATAAACCAATGTTCTTGGCTCCTTATTTAATCTTAAAATCAGTGTTGGGTGAATCAGTCAGAATATTTGGACATTCTGTTCAGAAAACATTATAAATTGATCAAGATTTGCTTGTCCTGCAAAACTCTCTTGGCATTCTTAATAGCAGTCTTCTGTCCTTGGATGACTTTATGAAATGTAGAGTTTGTGTGAGGAGACGATATGGACAATTTCCCCATTGCCCTGAAAGAGACACACCCTGTTACACCTCTTTGCCTTCATCCATGCTGTCCTCTTTTCCCAGCATGCCTTTCTTCCCTGCCCGCATCCACCTGCAATGTTCTTCTGTGCCTTCTAAAATTAAATTTGACTATTATCATCCCCCTCATCAAGGCTTCACACGTATTCTTCATTTCTCCTTCTTAACAAAGCCCCAGTTTTGTTCAAGTCCCACTCACTCCTCTCCCACTAGATGTGTATCTGGTGAAAGATGTTGATCTTAGTCCCATCTACATGAAAGGACTAATCAACGTAAACACAATCTCAGTCCCTTTGGCCAGGATTGGCTAAAGAATTGTCATGTGGTCTTGGCCAATCAGACAGGAGGGAAAGCATGTGAAGCGCTCTCAGTCCTAATTAGTAAGATGGGGACCAAGAAAGAGATAGTCAGCCCTCTTCCCCTAGTTGTGCCATGTCTGACTGTGGTCTTAGGGTGGCTGCCTTCCTCTCAGCAGCAAGCCAAGTAGGCCAGCTGGCTTCTTAGTAACAATCCATGGTCACTTAACTCTGAGAGTCTCAGTTTCCTCTTTTTCAAAATGAGGAAGTTGACCTCATTTATCTGTAGCTTCCTTTTAACTTTAGAATACCATACATGCCTCTAAAAGATGATGGGGGAGGAGATATGGAGGAGGATCTAGGAAGTGAAGAAGGCCAGTTAATTTTATTTGTAGCTCTAACCATCTGCTGCCATTAACATGAGCAAGCAGTTATTTGCATTTTATGGTTGAGTGATCTCAACTTTCCAGTTTAAGAAACAAGTACTAATCTTGGTTTAACCACTAAGATAAACTCACATTTCCCCATTCCCTGAGGTGAATCTATTAATATCTCTTTATCTTGTACGGTAAACAAAATGTTTTTACTAACATTAAATGAAAAGGGTAGTACAATTCAAGTTTAGGAACCAAAACGATTTTTTCCCCTTAATTTCAAGTTAAACCATTTTATCATCCTTCCTTTGTCTTCCTTCTGTAATTGTTCCAAAACCACCCAAGAAGGCCTAAAGAATTTGTAAATGGAGAAGAAGTATGGAAAAAAAATTTTTTTAATGCAGGATTACATTGCTTAAGGTTAGTAGATCTTAGCTTGCTTCAAAATGTTAAGAGACTTAAGTTGAAGCACCATCTAGTGGCTCTCAGTTGTGTTCTGCTAAAAGTTGCTCCCAGTCTCCCCGTATTTAGGACCACAGTTAATTTGTTGGGCATGTATATCATTGACCCTTGAACAGCAAGTTGAAAATGCACAAATCTACTTATATGTGTATTTCTTTCACTTCTGTGGCCCCGAGACAGCAAAACCAACTTCTTTACTTCCTCCTCCTCTTCAGTCTACTCAATGTGAAGACAACAAGGATGAAGACCTTTATGATGATTTACTTCCGCTTAATGAATAGTACATATATTTTCTCTTCCTTACGATTTTCTTAATATTTTCTTTTCTCTAGCTTTCTTTATTATACATATAACATACAAAATATGTGTTAATCACTGTTTATGTTATCAGTAAGGCTGCTGGTCAACAGTAGGCTATTAGTAGTTACGTTTTGGGAGAGTCAAAAGTTATATGCAAGTTTTCTACTGCATGGAGGGTTAGCAAGCATGTTAACCCCCATCTTGTTCAAAGATCAGCTCTATATGAACACGTATGAGTGTTCAGAAAAAAAATGTGGAGTTTTTTTTTTATCTTTATATAGGAGTGGGAGGATGGGGGTAGTAGCTGTAGCTTTTTACTGTTTCAATCTAATCATGGCAGTGAGAATGGGATAAAGAAATAAAACGAATTCCCATAAATCTCTTCTAGAAACAGTAAAGTTCATCCAGTGGAAAAAAGAATTAATACAAATTTAATACAAAGAAAATTTCATAGATTTCAGTTCTCCTGTTTCTCCTACTCACATTCTCTCTAAAAGCCCATAACAGTATCTTTATCTTCCTTCTGAATCCCATAATGTAGACATGTTCTCACACATCTAGGGATTGGCTATTAGATCATTTTTACATATCTCCAAGTTCTCAAGCACAAGCCCAGAGCATCCCTTGCATTTATATAACCAACAATTTTTCTTGAACTGTCATAGAGATAATACTCATACCTATGATTCCTATCTTCTGAAGTTACCTCTTTTCATTACCTCTATGGGCAGAATGAAAATAGACCATAACAACTGGACATGAGTAGGAATATCTGTTTCATTGTCACTAGGGGAAGAACAAAAATTGGACATGAAAATGGATACGAGTAGAAAATAATTTGTAGCAAGATTGACACAAACCTTTAGATTAACAAACTAGGTATTTGTATCAATTAGGATTAAGTTTAGCTACGTGTAGAGTAAAACCTAAAATAACACTGGCATGAACAAAATTTTATTCACTCTCACACAAAAGAAGTCAATGAATAGGTGGTTGAGGGTTTATAGGGAAACTTCATGGTCATCAAGCCCAGGATCCTTCTTCCATCTTTCTTTTCTTCTATCCTACTGAGTGGCTTCTATCCTCAACATCATCCATGGCCCAAGTTGACTGCTGGACCATCACTCATCTTACCAATGTTGCAGTCTAGGAGACAAGGAGGAGAAGCAAAAGAAGACCCTTCCTTCCTCTTTAAAGAGATTTTCTGAAAATATCACACAAGATTTGTATTTACATCTCATTTTCCAGAACTTATGCAAGTGGGCATACTCAGCAAAGGAAACTGAGAAATGCCTTTTAGCTAAGTACATTCCAACAATAAATTAAATTGGAGTTATGCTATTAATCAATGTGTCAATTACCTAAGACACCAAGAATGCTGTATAACTAACAACCATAAAACCTCTGTGGCAACAATTGCTTACACGCCTGGGATCAAGTGGAGGTCAGCTCTTCTCATCTTGACTGAGCTTCCTCATATATTTAGGGAATGGCTGACTATTGCATCTTCTAGGTTGGCCTCAACAGAGAGTTAGGGATGGGACTGAGGGGACACAGCTCTGCTCTACATGGTTCTCATCCTCCATCTGACTGGGCCAAGCATGTTCTCATGGAGTAACAAGTAGAACAGAAGTTCTTGAGACCTGTGCTCAAAACAGGTACACCAACACTTCCACCTCATTTTATTGGCCAAAGCAAACTGCATAGGGTGGATAAATATGTACTCCCTGTATGGAAAGAACTCTAAAGTCAACTGAAAAATTACTTGGATAGAGGGAGAGCTGAAGATTCAGAGTCATGGATATACTCATCTGCCACAAGGAGAAAGGGGAGGATGGGCATTGGACCAGTGATACGGCTTGGCTGTGTCCCCACCCAAATCTCATCTTGAATTGTAGCTCCCATAATTCCCATGTGTTATGGAAATCAATTCCATATTGTAGCGCCCATAATCAATTCCATAATCAATGGAAATAAATTCCAACTGTAGCTCCCATAATTCCCAATGTGTTATGGGAGGGACCTGGTGAGAGGTAACTGAATCATGGGAGCAGGTTTTTCCCATGCTGTTCTCATGGTGGTGAATAAGTGTCATGAGATCTGATGGTTTTATAAATGGGAATTCCCTTGTACATACTGTCTCTTTGCCTGTCGCCATGTAAGACGTAGCTTTACTCCTCCTTGCCTTCCACCATGATTATGAGACCTCTCCAGCCATGTGGAACTGTGAGTCAATTAAACATTTTCCTTTATAAATTACCCAGTCTTGGATATGACTTTATTAGCAGCATGAGAACAGACTAATACAACCAGGTAACAAGCAATCCCTGCCACAGTATTTTTTTAGTCTGTTATAAAATTGTATTAATGGACTGCTTCCCATTCTATGCCCTGTCTTAAACATAAGGGAATTACAATAAAAAAGAAAGGCACACAAGAGTTTACATCATATTATATATATGTATATATATAATTTCCTAATTTAGTTATTTTTTACTCATGTTCAATTACAAAAAGGGTAAGTGTTAATCTTAGTATTTGTTCTATTCTTTATTATGGGCAGAGACTGGGCTAGATGTTGCAGTGAACCTGATTCCTTTTCTTCCAAGTCAGCTAGACTACATTTTCCAGACTCTGTGGATGTTAATAGAGCTATGCTAGTAAGGACTAACCAATGGAATGTGAGCAGAAGTGATTACTGCTCCAGGCCTGGCCCATAAACACCTCCCACATAACATCCTCCATTCTCTCTCCCTGGTTCCTATTCACCAGCTGAACTAGGTAATATTCCAAGAAGGGCAGAGCCATAGGATAAAATGATAGCTTAAAGCAACGCTTCTCTTTCCTGCCCTGCCTCAGCCCCACCAACTGCACTAGAGTGTGATGTGAGCAAGAATTACATTTTTGTGGTGTGAATACACTGAGATGTAGGGCCTGTTTGTTTCAGCAATTAAATAACCATATGCATATAATAGCATCCAATTTATGCATTCATTTTTTCCCTTAGGGCTTTGCTAAAAATAAAAGTAACAGACCAGATCACCAGTTTGTTTTCATGCTGTTGATAAAGACATACCCAAAACTTGGAACAAAAAGAGGTTTAATTGGACTTACAGTTCCACATGGCTGGGGAGGCCTCAGAATCATGGGGGTAGGTGAAAGGCACTTCTTATATAGTGGCAGCAAGATAAAATGAGGAAGAAGGAAAAGCAGAAACCCCTGATAAACCCATCAGACCTTGTGAGACTTACTCACTATCACGAGAATAGCACAGGAACCGACCCCCATGATTCAATTACCTCCGTCTGGTTCCCTCCCACAACACGTGAGAATTCTGGGAGATACAATTCAAGTTGAGATTTTGGTGGGGACACAGCCAAACCATATCAACCTGCTACTTTAAATAAGAAATGTCTTCTTTTAAATAAAAAATCACTTTTTACTACAGGATTACCATCTGTATCAAGTGAATATAGGATCTTAGTTTACAGTGGCCCTAGAAGATATAAGGATTTCACCAATGTCTTACTCTTACCATCATTAATCCATCCAAATACTACAACCTAGAGTGTAAACAAGAAAGGGAACTGAGACATTAGAGCTCTAAAATGTAAGGGGACCTTCAGTGTCATCTTCAATGACACTGATATTTCCTTAGTTGAGATCAACTTACAATTTCTGCTAAAATGCAAATACTGCTAAAAATGACTCAGCCATTTGCTCAATGATCAGTCCAAACATGCAATGCTGCTGCCCCACTAATTGCTAGCAAGCAAGTAATGGATGGAAGGTCAGCTACTAGCTGACTCACAGACAGTGTTTGCAGTGGCTCCTGCCATTGCAGCATTGATTAGCAACTCGGGTATGCAGAGGAGCCAAGAAGCTGTGAGGAAAGCAGCATTCAAAGAACCCAAAGGGTGTAGAAAAACTGCCCAGCATCATTATTTGCCTTTTGCTGAGCCATCTTCTTCTTTATCTTGAAAAGCAGTTGTGTCACATTTGCAAATAGAAATTTACTAAGGAAAATGCAAAAGTAGATAAAGTATCCTAGGCATTTATGATGGCAGGCACGAAGCTTTTGCATGTGTACTTACACTGTATGCTGAGTCTGAAACAGGTCTTGGTAATTGTATTAGTCCATCTTCACATTGCTATAAAGAATTCCCCAAGACCAGGTAATTTATGAAGAAAAGAGTTTTAACTGACTCTCAGTTCCACACAGCTTAGGAGGCCTCAAGAAACTTACAATCATGGCAGAAGGTGAAGGGGAAGCAAGGCATGTCTTACATAGCAGCAGACTGGAGAGTGAGCAGGGGAAATTGCCACTTACAAAACCATCAGCTCTTGGGAGAACTCCCTCACTATCACAAGAACATCATGAGGCAAACCACCCCCATGATCCAATCACCTACACCAAGTCCCTCCCTTAACACATGGGGATTACAATTTGAGATGAAATTTGGGTGAGGACACAGCACCAAACCATATTAGTAACTATCACATCGAGTCACAAAAGAAGTTAAGCTAGACTTTGAACCCGAAGGCTTGTTGCAAATGGCTGCTTTTTTTTTTTTTTTTTTTTTTTTGCGATGTCTCATCAAATATAAATTGACATCCAGCTCTTTCGATTTTCATTCTTTAGGGAAAAAACCCATAAAATATTTCATTAAGCAGGAAGGAACACAAACCCTTTACAGAGAAATTTGAAAGTAAACACTTGAGAAGCCCCAGAAACCTTCCCCCACCAAATTCCCAAGATGTGGGCTAGGCCACTTCTCTCCTAGACTAAAACCACAATGAAGCACTTTCACAATGAAGTTCTTGCCCAGTGCTGCAGGCACAGCTGCCTGGGCTCTCAGTTGTGAATGATGCCTTCACATTAAAGAAGGAGCTGGAGGGAGAATACAACATAACCACAAAAGTGTCAAGCTTTTCCCAGTACACTGTAAACTCAAAATGTTACAATGATTTTTTTTTTTTCTTTTTCTACTGTGTCTTATGCTTTTCAGTCTTCAGTTTCTACCTGACATAATTTATCCTCTGGAAGAAAACAAATCCTGTGGTGACCAGAATGACCACAAAAAGAGAGAGTTTCACATAAAGAATGATCAGTAAGTCCAACGCTGGAGATCCTGAGGTTCTGAGACCTGTAAATACAGACAGGGGTAAAAAAAAATCATTTCAAGGATTCTTCTAATTACAAATTAGAGTCAAACATTTTAAAGAACATTTTAAAATATTCTAAAGAGTTCACAGACTGTCATAATCATGAAACCTTCTAACTTACAACTCAAATGTTACTAATATATCATTCTTCCACGACAGTGTTTAGGAACCATGTTTGTGTTTTGTACCTCGTAGGTTTCTGACAAATATTTTCTGAACAAATAAATGCACACTATGCATTGCTAATACTTTCCAATTTTATAAGAAAAGCAATATGTCAAGCTTTCCCCAGTATATTCCAACTTCCCATGCAAATACTAGCCTTTGAAAGAACATTACTCTTGATATTTGGGGTTTGATCTGATAACACTTTCCACACATTGAAATGATTTTCTTACTAAGTTGATGTAACCTCTTTAGCAAGGTGTTTTGTGTCTTCCTACTTTCATTTTATTTATCTGTGAAATGCCCCTAGGAATTATTGAAAAGACAAATCAAACTAATTGGGGATCTTGGTTCACTGCAAACTGTGCCTCCTGGGTTCAAGTGATTCTCCTACCTCAGCCTCCAGAGTAGCTGGGATTACAGGCATGCACCACCACGCCTGGCTAATTTTTGTATTTTCAGTAGACACGGGGTTTCATCATGTTGGCCAGGCTGGTCTCAAACTCCTGACCTCAGGTGATCCACCCACCTCAGCCTCCCAAAGTGCTGGGATTACTGGCGTGAGCCACCATGCCCAGCCAGAAGCATAATTCTGAAGTCTCTTATCCTATGAAATTGACCACCTAGGCAGGGTGCGGTGGCTCACACCTGTTGGGAGGCCGAGGTGGGTGGATCACCTGAGGTCAGGAATTAAAAACCAGCCTGACCAACATGGTGAAACCATGTCTCTACTAAAATACAAAAATTAGCTGGGTGTGGTGGCATGGGCCTATAATCTCAGCTACTCGGGAGGCTGAGGCAGGAGAATCGCTTGAACCCGGGAGGCATAGGTTGCAGTGAGCCGAGATCGCACCACTGCACTCCAGCCTGGGTGACAGAGTGAGACTCTGTCTCAAAAAAAAAAAAAAAAAAAAAAGAAAGAAAGTAAAAAAGAAGAAATTGGCCACCTAAAGAATGTGTGAACTCTAAATACAAGTCTGACTCCTGGCTCTAAGATGTTATTCTATCCCATTAAATAACCTGCTCGAAGACTAAACTAGAAAAATGTCAGACAATCCTAGGCATTGTGAGGAAATAAGAAAACAGTATGGTTACAGTTCTCAAAATATCTCATAATCCAACTGGAGAAGTCAGACTCATACAAATCAAAAGACAACTTATATAAAATAAAAATAAAAGCTCAAGACCCCAATTCACTACGCCAAATGGGAAAAATTAAGCTGAAAGCCGAGTCATGCAAGCAACTGCCTTTCCTTTTATTCCTAAGCACATAGCTACATATAAAACATAAATTTCTCCACAGGTAGCTACTCTATGTTCACCTTATCATAATTGACTATTCCCCTACCTGCTCCTTTTCTCTTGCAGCTTATGAATTACCAACCCTTCCTCTTTCCCCTTCAGTGCACTTTTGCCCTTTAAATATTGAAGCCCTCAAAGTCATCTTTGGAGAAAGGCATAGATCACTGACTGTTTCTCAGACTCTGTGGTGTTTTTTTTATTTTGTTTTGTTTTGTTTTGTTTTTATCTGTGCAAATTGTCCTAAACCTTGGCAAAATGATCTTCTAAATTAATTGAGACCTGTCTCCGATACTTTTTAGTTTAAATGTATAATTGAGAAAACAGTGCTGGATGAACATTACAGATTATAAATCATCTAAGGAATAAGAATGTTTAATCAACTCTAACACGGAGGTCAGGGAGAAGCAGGACTTGAACTGGGTCTTGCTGGTCTGCAGGATTGAATAGGTTAAAAGAAGGACTTTTCAAGATAAAGAAACAATTTGAGAAAAGTTTTAAAGATGAGTTCACCTAAGTCATATTTGGAGCGTAGAATGGAATATGTAGAGATGAATCTGCAATGATTTGAACCTAATTCTTCAGTGACTTGTATGTGTCAGCTACTGTGCTAGACTTTAGGAATACAAAAATTAAAAAAGTGGTTCCAACTCTCAAGGACCTTATGCTGTGCTGAGAGTCACAGAAGTAAGTGGCTGTAATATCATAAGAAATATGTATGTATGTGGTCTTTGTCCCCCAGTTCCCGGCACACTTCCAAGGATTTTTCCTAAACTTCTTGGAAGTTCCACAGTGATCCATCTTTTGTACGCTAATGAGATGAGTGGTGGCTGGGAGCCTGAAGACAGCTTCAGGATGGGGCTGATAATTAGAAAGGCCAAGGCATGGTTAGAAGGTTGAAACGTTCAGCCCCATACCACCACTGTCCCCTTCCGCTGACCTTCTGGGAGGGGAGAGGGGCTGGAAATTGAGCTAATAAGCAATGCCCAATAATTTAATCCATCATACCTATGTCATAGAGCCTCCACAAAAACTCTACATGACAGAGTCTGGAGAGCTTCTGGGTTGGGAGATTTTCTGAGCTGGTGAACACACCGAGGGGCTGGGAGGCTGGCACTCCCAGAGACATCACGGAAGCTCCTTCCTCCATACCCTGCCCTACGCATCTCTTTATTTATTTATTTTTTTGTCTGTTCCTGAGTTGGCCACTTTATAAGAAATTAGTAATAGTAAATAAAGTGCATTCCTGAGTGTGTAATTTAAAAATCTAAGCTGTTGGAACTTTAAAATATTTTGAGCCTTAACGGAATGTGATTATGGGACCTGAGTTACGTAAACAAGCAGCTACGACCTAGGCAGCCATAACTTTAATTTCCCTGATTGTACATTAGCCTTTTTCCTTGCCTACATTGTTTTGTAAACTGCTGTAAATGACTAAAGGGTGCAGGGGAAGACCCCTTCCCTCTAAACTGTGATCTTCATTATTGATTAACTTCCTTCTTTCTTCTCTCACACAATAACTCTCACATTGCCTAACATGAAATGTTAACTATACTCTTAAAATTGGAAAGGAAATGAAAACAAACTGTACAGAAAAGAAAACAAACTGTAACTTTAATTAATTAAATCATTATAACTCATAAACCAGCCTTGTATGTAAAAAAGGTATAATCCTACTGAATTTCTTTTCTGCCTCTATAAACAAGACCTTAAGTTTGAAGTTTGAAGTTTGAAGTTTGAAGCACTGACCCCATTCCTTTGGAGTCTGTGTTACCCAAATGGCTGTTCTCAGACTTCTGCTTAAATAAACTCTTTTAAACTGGATTCTGATCCTTTTGATTATTTCAGGTTGACATGGGTTCTGTGAGCCATTCTAGCAAATTATTAAACCTGACAAGGGAATCATGGGAACTCTCTGAAATTATAGCCAGTTGATTAGTTCAGGTGGCAATCTGGGACTTGTGACTGGTATCTGAAGTGAGGGAGGTCTTATGAGAGTAAGCCTTTAACTTGTGGAGTCTGTGCTAAGTCCAGGTAGTTAGTGTCTGAATTGAATTGTAGGACACTTAGATGGTGTCTAGAGAGTTGGAGAATTAGTTGGTGTGGGGAAAAAAACACACACATTGGTGTCAGAAGCATTGTGAATGAAAACAGTGCCGAGCAGTCAATTACAGGGCTGTGGAGGTGCTCTGACAGAGGCATGTATGAAGCATTCTGTGAGCACAGAGGAGGAACAGCTAACCGAACTTCAAGGCCAGAGAAAATTATCCCGGTGGATCAATGTCAAACGAAGTCTTAACACTTCAACAGGAATTGATCAAATGTAATGGAAGAAGAGAGTATAGGGAAAGAAGTGCCTTACAGAGAAGTAGAAATTGCATTCAAGGCCAGGCACGGTGGCTCATGCCTGCTAATTCCAGCACTTTGGGAGGCAAAGGGGGGCGGATCATGAGATCAGCAGATCGAGGCCATCCTGGCTAACACAGTGAAACCCCCTCTCTACCAAAAAATACAAAAAAATTAGCCAGGCATGGTGGTGGGTGCCTGTAGTCCCAGCTACTAGGGAGGCTGAGGCAGGAGAATGGCATGAACCCAGAAGGCGGAGCTTGCAGTGAGCCGAGTTTGTGCCACTGCACTCCAGCCTAGGCGACAGAGCGAGACTCTGTCTCAAAAATAAAAAAATTAAAAATTAAAATTAAAAGAAATTGCATGTAAAAGGGAACAGAGGAATAAAAGCACTTAACACTTTTGAAGAGCCCAAAGAGGCCCACATGCATGGGGTACAGAATCATAAAATACATTATTAAAAATCTAATAAAATATTTAAAATTAGTAAATACATAAAATTATATATTATGAGACATTTAAAAGTAAATAGTTACAACAAATATTATGAAGAAGCTAATTAAGTGAACAAAGAATGAAACATTTATATTTTATTTGGCACTTGAGAGATGCTTTTTGTCAGAGCATTTTCTGCGCAGGGAGACACAAATGAGGTAAGGAATAGATGTGAGGTGATAAAGAAGAGACAATGAGTGTAGGGTCCTCTTTTAAAAATATTCTTGGATACGAGTGGAAGCCGAGAGTTAAATGTTTGAGGAAGTCATAACACCAAGCTTTTGGATACGGAAGAAAAATAGGCATGTTTTATGAGCAGCTTTAGAAAAATAATTTAAGGAACAAAAAACTAAACAAAAGAGAGAGGAGGATGAAGCAAAGCTCCTAAGGAGATAAAGGGGAAAAAAGGCTTAGAGTTTGGGTTGAATGTTGGTATACAGAAGGGAAGATCAAGTAATACTGAAAATAAATATATAAAAAAAGATAAGACGTATGAAGTAAGAACCTAGACTTGATGGGAGATTGATCATGGAAAACACAGCTAACGAATACATGGTTTCCTTTTGGGGGTGATAAATATGTTCTAAAATTGATTGTAGCAGTGGTCACAAAAGCATTGAATTGCATTCTTTAAATGGGTGAAATGTATGGTATATAAATTATATGTCAATAAAGCTGATGCAAAACAGAAAATAAACATGAAAGATATGAGGAATAATTAATATGATGATATTTAATATTAGTTGTAATAATTATCACAATAGCTAATTTTTATTAATATGATACATATAATAGCCAACATTTATTAATATAAGGAAATCTAGTGGCTAAAATTTGCTGAGTGTCAATTATGTAGTAGATATATTAATACAATTACATGTACAGCATGTTTATATATATATATATAATTTTATTTAATTAACCCAATAATCCTATTAGTGGTTCCCATTGTCTTCATTTAACAGATAAAGAAACCATGAGAGGCCGGGTGCGGTGGTTCAAGCCTGTAATCCCAGCACTTTGGGAGGCCAAGACGGGTGGATCACAAGGTCAGGAGATCGAGACCATCCTGGCTAACACGGTGAAACCCCGTCTCTACTAAAAAAATACAAAAAATTAGCCAGGCGAGGTGGCGGGCGCCTGTAGTCCCAGCTACTCGGGAGGCTGAGGCAGGAGAATGGCGTGAACCTGGGAGGCGGAGCTTGCAGTGAGTTGAGATCCGGCCACTGCACTCCAGCCTGGGCGACAGAGTGAGACTCCATCTCAAAAAAAAAAAAGAAAAGAAACCATGAGATAAAACCATGAGATAGAAATGTTAAATACTGTTCAAGTTCATATAACTGGTGAACAAAAACCATATGAAGTGAAAGGCTTTGCTCCTAAACACCAGATTATCCTGCCCAAAACAATATAAAGATGTGGACCTTATCTTTTCATCTTTGCATCACCAGCTTCAAACTTATAAATAGCATTCAATAAGTATTTTCTGAATTAATTAATAGATTGCTTTCAGATGACGAGACAGGAGGAATTACTTGTCTCTTACTCAGGGTAACAAAGTAATAAGAAATAAAATCAGGAAGAAAATAACTGTCATTCTGGGCTATCTACTGAACAAGGATTGTTAAAACTATATAAAACTCATGATATTTCATATCAAGAATTAATCTCAAAGTAAGAGCCTATAGATCACTAAGTTAACAAAATCTATTTTTATGGCTGTTCCACTAAAAGATAAGATTCTAGCGTTGTAATGCATTTCTCAGTTTTGGAGAATATTTCCAACCTAGAAGCTCAAATTTTCTTACCTACTGTTTGGTTATTCATTATTTTCTATGGAAGAAAAAGTTGAGCATCAAGTTTACTCTTCTACAAGAGACAGGCGCTTACCTGAATTCAACTTTATGTACAGACTCTTGTTGCCAGTCAAATGGGAGACATGGCAGGTCACGGTAGACGCATTGTGGTCCCCCCAGTGGCACATACTCTCAACAGTCACTGTGCCATTGCCCCAGTACTCATGCTCAGTAGGGGCACAATCCCCCGCTGGGATCCAGGAGATCTGAGCAGCTGGCTTCCCTGCAACTGCCTTGCATACTGCAGTTCTATTCCTGCTTTGAAACAGGGTCACTTCAGGTGTAACTGCAGAGAGGAAAGGGGGAGAAAATGCTTTGGTTTTCACATAAAGCATATGGAATTCAGAGAGACATTTGTTTCAGTCACAAATCTGGTGATGTGAAATGCCACAATATATGCTCCTTACCTAACACTTGGAGGTGATATCCACGATGGAAATTCCCATCAGGAGTTGCCATTATGCATCTGTAATATCCGTCATGAGTGATGGCCACTGGGTGAATCTGAAGGTCCGAATTCTGATCAGGTGTGGAGACCCAGGTTATTCTCTCATCAGTACAGTTGGTTTCCTTGGTCTCATTTGTTTCTTTCCTGTAGGCTTTTGTGCAGGAAGGCTGGCCTCTTATGATTATTTCCCATACTATTACGATCAAATTTCTGAACTCAATAGGAGGGCAACAAAGCATAGCATTTGTATCCATCAGTACAGGCTGTGAAATGTTACCTGGACACACACACAAAGGATAATGATAAAGAACACCTTGACAAGGAACTTCATGTGTTATGTTTATCCACAGTATATTACATGAAGTCATATTAGAACATAAATTTGCTGATCTTATTCCAGAAATATTAGACTTATGTAAGAAAATAACATTCACAAAATATAAATAATATATTGAACCCAATCTAAAGATTAACAAACTTTCTCCAGTATTATGTATTATTAGAAAAACAATATACATAACATTGTATTCTGAAATACAATAAAGTATTCTGAAATTAATTCAGGAGTTTTAATATTTAGAAACAGAGAAGAAAACAGAATTGTAATTTAAACAACAAAGGCAATGCTCTAAATCTAATCTTTAGGTGATAGAGACTACTGTATTTATCATACAAATCATGTGCCTTGGAAAAGAAAATGGAATAACTAGTGATGTGATTGTCTCCTCCTTCGTTTTGGTGAGCACAAGAAAAATCAGTAACATCAAAGTTAAACACCTGTCTCTAAGGTTGTTATTTCAGACAAACATAAATGTGGGAAGTTTATGGTTCTTTCATTAAAGGTAACTAATATGGTATTCAGGTGGAGCTAGCTGGACATGTTTTATTTAGATAATTACATGCTTTATTTAGAGAATTACAGAGTCAGTGAGACCCATAGATCTTTAAAAAAATCTTTAATTTTGCCAGTTGAGCCATCCCATGTAAGTTAAAAAAATGCCTATTGATCAGATGTTTAGAAATATTTATTTCTAGTTTAAAAAGTAGTGTGGCATATAATTTTTAAAAGCTTTATTTTCCTTTGGACATTTATCATGAAAAAGTTTTATTGCAAATTCGTGACATTGTCAAACATAGCCTTTGTATATTTTCCTTCCTTCCTGTTTAGTCACACATATAATCCCAGAGAGTTCAGTGGTAAACTTTGCTCATAGATTTTATTTCTGTATATTCAATCCAATTATCAGGTGTAAATGTGTAAGTCGACTCCTTTCTGTCCATCTTTTAAAGTAAAAATTAAGCCCTGCATCCTACAAGCATCTTCCAACGTAGATTCTCATGCATCTCATAAGTCAACACAATGTTTCCACAACTGATCAGGGTTTACTGAGAGGTACTTATTCTGCCAAAGTACCTGTCACTACTCACCTGTAACAAAGGTGAGTGTCAGAGATCTCATCACGATAGCATAAGCAGAATCAGTTACAGAGGGGCAAACCTTTATGTGGATGAAGCTTGTTTTTGCTACACCCTACATTTAATATCACTCCTCTCCTGTTTTGGTGTCACCTGTCTCTTAGGTGGTACTTCAACCCTTATATTTCACAGTCAGATAATGATCACATAACCAGATACAGAAAGAAATAGGACTTTAACGCAGACCTGAAAGGTCATTAAACCCATGCTCCTTCCACCACTCCACCTTAGCAAATGTTCAGAGGTAAGCAAGAACATGGCTTGTTTGGAGCACTAGAGACTGGGACATTCAGGGTCCCTCGTACCACAGCACTCAGATCAACACATTCTTCAAGTAGTCACAAGGCTGGCCCCCAGCCAGGCCATCAGCTAATGATTCCACCAAAGTTCAACTTTCCATCCCTCAGTGTTGGCCACTACTAAGGAAGCATATTACCTTCTGCAGACATTTTTGAATAATTCTGTGTCATCTGCTTTCCATCCATACATGAACTACTTGAAGCTAGAAAATATTTAGAGAAGAATAAATGAAATCAATTTTATGTACTCAGAGTGGAAGCCAGTGTTTCCCCACAAAGTCTTACTCAACATAAAGACGATTAGTTAACCATAACTAAAATTATACAAAAATAATTGTAAAACAGAAATTAGAAGTTATGCCATCATTAGAGGAAAAAATCTGTTAACATCTTAAAAATTATACTTATAAGCAATTAATAATGATTTCTCATTCATGAGACGCTTTGTTTAGTCAACTAGTTTGTATGAGGTAATCAAGCCTCCCCCTATTCCTCCTTCCCCAACCAAGGAGATGGGTCCATGTGGGCATCTCATATGAGCTGGTCCAATTATACTCCTTTCTCCAAATGCTGGAGACATCATCTTTAAATGAAATTTCTGTGTACATTTTTGTTTTCCTTTTTAACCTAACTCCTCTAAAAGAGTGAAAGAAATGAACACAAAACTGGAATAATGACTAACCAGGAAGTAGCTCTATAGTCACTCTTGTTGCTACTCAAATGTGCCTACCATGAACTCATGGTAGGCACATTGTGGCCTTCCCAGTGACATGAACTCCCAATAGTCACTGTGCCATTGCCCCAATATTCTTGCTCGGTGACACAATCCCCCTGTGGGGTCCGGGAGATCTTTGCTGCAACTGTCTTGCACACCACAGTTCTATGCCTGCTTAGAAACAGGGTCATTTCAGGGGGAACTGCAGAGAGGTAAGGAAAAAGTGCTTCAATCTCAACATAAAGAATATGAAATTTGGCCGGGCGCGGTGGCTCAAGCCTGTAATCCCAGCACTTTGGGAGGCCTAGATGGGCGGATCACGAGGTCAGGAGATCAAGACCATCCTGGCTAACACTGTGAAACCCCGTCTCTACTAAAAAATACAAAAAACTAGCCGGGCGAGGTGGCAGGCGCCTGTAGTCCCAGCTACTCGGGAGGCTGAGGCAGGAGAATGGCATAAACTCGGGCGGGGGAGCTTGCAGTGAGCTGAGATCCGGCCACTGCACTCCAGCTTGGGCGACAGAGCGAGACTCCGTCTCAAAAAAAAAAAAAAAAGAATATGAAATTTAGAGAGACATTTGTTTCAGTCCAAATCTGATGATGTACAATACCACAATATATGATGTTCCTTACCTAACACTTGGCACGGTTAGGATTAGGTACGTCAGTGATGGCCTAGGGGAATGACTGTTGCAGTAATTCTCAAAGCGTGGTTTTCAGATGGCTACGGATAACCAAGACCTTTTCAGTGGACATCATCGTGGGTGATATCCATGATGGAAATTCCCATCAGGTATTACCATTATTCACCTGTAATACCCATAATGAGTGAGGACAACACGATCAATATGAAGGGCAAGATTCTAGTCAAGACTGGAGGCCTACGTTATACTCTGGTCATTGCAGTTTTTTTTTCCATTGTTTCATTTCTCTCCTGTAGGCTTTGATGCAGGAAGAATTGTCTCTGATGAGTATTTTCCATGCTGTTACCATCACACTTGTCAATAGGATGGGATGGCAACAGAGCATAGCCTTTGTATACATTCGTAACAACAGTAAAGTGCTAACTGGACACAATAAGAAAATGAAAATGATAAAAATTTCTACATGCCAGTTTCTTCCACTGGGTCTCATTTAAAGTCCCATAAAACCTTTATTTATTTATTTATTTATTTATTTATTTATTTTTATTATTTTTTGAGGTGGAGTCTCTCTCTGTCACCCAGGCTGGAGTGCAGTGGCACTATCTCAGCTCACTGCAAGCACTGCAAGCTCCGCCTCCCAGGTTCACGCCATTCTCCTGCCTCAGCCTCCCGAGTAGTTGGGACTACAGGCGCCCGCCACCACGCTCAGCTAATTTTTTGTATTTTAGTAGAGACGGGGTTTCACCTTGTTAGCCAGGATGGTCTCGATCTCCTGACCTCGTGATCCACCCGCCCCGGCCTCCCAAAGTGCTAGGATTACAGGCGTGAGACATCACGCCCAGCCAAAACCCTTCTTTTTCTTAATGAGTATTTTGCCCGCCTTGGGTGTAAAAAGGTGATTGGAAAGAGTTCAGCTTGCAACTCAAACATTTGATACAAATGCATTTCCTCAAGGTAATCATCATGATTTAGTACGCAAGAAAAATGCGTTAAATGTATTTCCAATTCGATCATGTAGAATACTTAAAAGATACTGTATATAAGGCTTGAGATTTAATACGTTAATACTTTTTACTGAATCATCAAAGACATTCTTAGGCAATGTGTGAGTGTGTGTGAGTGTGTGAAGAATGCAATGACTATTGGTGCAGCTTGGTGCCTTTTATAGGTTGAATTATATATCCGAAAATTTATATGTTGAAGTCCTAACCCTCAGAGATGTGCCCTTATTTGAAAATAAAATCGTTACAAATACAGCTAGCTAAGATAAAGTCATACTGGAGTGGCGTGAGCCCCTAATGCAATACAATTGGTGTTCTCATAAAAAGAGCAAATTGGACACAGATATGGATACAGGGAAAGCACCATGTAAAAACTGGAGGTATGCTGCACAAGCCAGGAAATACCAGAAGCTAGGAAAAGGACTTGAAACAGATCTTTTCGTAGTGCCTTCAGAGGGAGAATTGCCCTGCCAACACCTTGATCTTGGAGTTTTAGTTTCTAGAACTGTAACACGATATGTTTCTGTTACCTCTCACTTTATGGTTCTTTGTTACAACAGCCCTAGCAAACTAATACAGTACTCTGCACTTTATTCATGCTAAGCCACCAGTAATTTTTAACAACAGTTCAATTGCACTTTCAGTGAAAATATCAGTAGAAAGGCAAATAACATCACTGTATTATCATTATTATTGTTGTTGTAACTCATTTTTACCTAGGGGACCCCCTGAAAGGGTCTTGATTATCCCCAGCCATCTGAAAACCACATTTTGAGAACTGTCGCAATAGTTATTCCCCTAGTCCTTCACCAAAGAACCTGTGACCATGTGTTTAGGTAACCATAACTGGGGAAAAAGGAATACAAATATCTTTTGAGGGTTATTTGAATACTAATCTGAATTGATCCTGATACCTAAGAACACAAAGAACATTAAGGGCCTCCTGTTAGAGTAGAAACATATCGGAGTCAGGGGATAAAAGAAATCCTGGGCCTGGTTTATATCACAGCGGAATAAGTCCACAGACTTATCCAGTGGAGGTTTTTCAGTTGCTGAATATTTAATTAGAATGAACATGCTTAGCAGCTTGCAGACCGTCTTGTTGATTCCTTGATCTTTAAAGTAAGAGCTATTATAATAGGAAAGACCAAGAGAAATCCCCCAAACCACTCACCTTGGCGAAGATAGTAAATAAATATTAATATTGAAGACGTAAGTATGAGTCTCCTTTCAGAGACGTAAAGTGTACTAAAATAGTGGTTCCCATTATGTCTCCTACTTAATTTACCAGTTCAATCCCTGCAATACACTGGATGGTGAATTATAGTAGACCAGTGCAAAATTACCAAAGTATCAGCCCCAACTGCAGCTACTCTGCCAGATGAGCTATCTTTACTAGAGATACTCCAGTTGCAATATGTGGTTATTGATCTGGTAAATGCATTATTTTCAATATTCACCAGGAAGGAACATCAAAACTAAGTTTGTATTCCACAGGACAGTACACAGTATATAAATATGGTCTTGTCTTAATTTCTACTTTCATGTACAGTGTAATCTATAAAGATCTAGGCTATCTGGGCATTCTGCAGGGACCATCATATTGGTCTACTATATTGATGACATCATATCAGTTAGATCTTCTGAGCAAAAAGTGAGAGTTATTATGAATACCTTAGTTAATCACATGCATTCCAGAGGTGAGAAGTCAATTCTACAGAGATTCAGGGCCTGACACATTAGTGAAGTTTCTAGTAGCCCAGTGGTCTGGACCCTACCATATATCTCCTCCCGAAAAAAGGACAAATTATTTAACCTTACTTCCTACCACTGAGTAGCACAATACTTGGTTTTGGAGGCAGCCTGCTATATATTTGCGATTACTGCTCTGACCCTCTAATAGGATGGTAGTCCAATGTGCTCCAGGCCAAGAAAGGAATCTGTAACAGGTCCATGCTACAGTATATCAGCCCTGAAAAAAAGTTCATCAAATCAGGCAGATCTGTGATACAAGAAGATTCTGTGATAAAGATGCATTGCGGAGCCTCAGACAAGTCCAGTAGGACAGTCAGTGCAGGCCTAGGGTTCTGGGGTAAATCTGTGTCATCTGAAGCAGATAACTAGTTGCCTTTTTAAAAATAGCTCATGGCATTCTATGGGACCCTGGTGAAGACTGAGCATCTAATCATGGGATACGAAACGATCAGGCTCCTAAAACAGCCCATTGTAAGCTGCATACTATTAGACCCACAAAATCATAAAGTAAAGTGGGTCCAGCAACATTCCATTATAAAACAGAAAGAGAGAACACCAGTCATTTAAGTGAACAAATGGTCCAGGCCCCCACTTCATATACCACTGTTACACTGTCATCTCTCCCTCAGCTCACATCTAAGCCCTCCCTGTAAGTTCCCTAGGACCAACACCCAAAGCTTAGCTTGTGGATGGGTTGCCTCAGTCTGTGATATAAGCCAAAAGTAGACTGTTGCAGCACTGTAGCCCCACTGTGTTCTGGCCCTGAAAGACAGCGATGATGAAAAAAACTCAAGTAAAAAATGATTCAGTAATAAAAGAGATAAACTCATGAGCAGTGGCAAATGGTTTGGCTTGTTTGGTCAGAGACCTGGAAGAGTCAAAATTGGAAGGGAGAGGACAAGAAGGTGTGGGGTAGAGGCATGCGGATGCATTCAGAAATTGCCAGCTTGGTGGAGCACTGGCATAGCCTCTTGAAGGCACAACTGAGGTTTGGAAATTATATCTTATGAGGATGGGACACCACCCTTTAGGAGGGTGCTGTGTCCCCAGTTCCCCAGTTCATAGAATAAACTGGATCTGAGAGACAA